TCATCATAATCATAGTGATACTAAGAATTGAACTCAGGGCCTTTGTACTGAGCTACATCCCAGTCCTTCTTATTTTTTATTTTGAGACAATGTAAGTTGCCCAGATGGAGTTTGAATTTGAGATCCTCCTGCCTTAGCTTTCTAGAGTGCTAGGCTTTTAGGCTTATACCACCATCCTTGGCTGGCTTTCTGATTTTCTGTACCTTGGTCCTCAAAATTCTCACTATCTTACAACTATGTTACTTAGACAAAGAACAGTTGCTCCATTGTGTATTCTTATTCTTTAACTTTTTTGAAATATTATGCTTTTGTTAAGAAAGAGAAGGCAAAACAAATACCTAAAAGGTTTCTTACTCGTTTCAAACACCATAAATGCCTTCATGCTTTTTCAATGTTCACAGAAATACACCTATGTAAATACTGACTCTTTGGTACAGAAGTAGGGAACAGTTTGCCCAAGAAGAGACAACTAGTTGTGAGAAAGCAGGTTTTGTCTGACTCCAAAGGTTATGGTTTTCCCTGCCAGCTGTTGTACTACTCTAGTGGTCTAGAGAACCAGCCAATTTCTAGTTCCATAACATGTTTATTTCACCAGTTTTACACCTACATTGGGAAAAATGAGAATTCTGAAAGCAAAATCTCATCATGTCAAAGGATATGTGCTCAGAAGTCAGGATTCAAGACTGTCTATGGAGGGTTATTAACTTAGTAGTTCTTTGAAGAGTTGAGGTCTATCTCCATAAATTTATTAGATGCAAGGACAGATGGCAGTTTAAAGGCAGAAATATTTATATTCTTAACACTATCTCTATTTATTCAAGGGCCCTCTCTCTTGCAGAACTCTGCTTCCGACAGTTTTGTGAAGATCCCCAACCCCACTTTCAAATGTGAATGAATTAATCTGACTTTGAAATTCTCTTGACACTTCTTGAGGTAACTGGAGCCACATGTGATAAAATCAGATTTGGCAAGCAGATTTTTTTCTGAGCCTTTTTTTTTCAGTTTTGATTTCTCTCTCAGCAGACTAGTTTTCATGGAGCCCCACTGACTCCCCAAACAAAATGGAGCAGTACTTTCCCAACATATAGGATATCCAAGCCTGAGATCCAACTCATGACTTAACAGGAGAAATAAACACTTCATTTTTTAAGGATTTTGGCTTCAAGGTTCTGTGAAACTAATAACTATCCAGAATTCAAATAGGCAGAAGTCAGATGCTTCTTACCTTTTATTTATCTGATGAGGAAATTTAAGTCAAGGAGTTCAAATATCCCTCTCAAATCACCTGTTATTAGTGCCCGAGCTGGGACTAGAACCAGGCTGAGGGTGTGAGCAGAGGTTGGTGCTGTGAGAAGATTGCTACCCCAGTATTCAAAAAAACCCAGAGGTGGCTTGGGAACCAATTCTGAAATGATACCTACCCTCAAGGGTTTTCTGAGACGAAGGAATTCATCCATGCAAAGTGCTCAGAACAGCCCCTGGAGAACAGAAAGTATTTGTTCTCCTTCTTCTCTGATTAATTTGGATGAGTTCTACTCAGACCAGGAGAATGAGGCAGTGAACAGCTTCTCTCAGGAACCACTGATGCCAGAATGTGGATTACAGAACAATCGCTGGTTCTGTGTTGGAATCTGTAAAGGAAAACAAATCACTCATTCTTTCTCTAGCTTTCTAACAGTCATTACTACCAGCAATTTGGAAGCAAAATTTTGGAATCAGAATTGTTTATTTGGAAAACATTTTGTTTTATCCCGAATCTCTCCATAAAGAAAACGAAACTAGGCCAACATAGAGAGAAATAGTACCATGGTCACAACTATTACAAGAAAGTGGTTACTTCCTGTGTTAAAGCCATGTTTAATTTTAAAAATCTTTGGGGATTTTTTTTTCTTTTCCTGGAGAAACTATATACTGGTTATACACAAGAAATATTTTGTTTAGCATTCTGTGTAAAGCTGACTGGTATCCAGCTTACCTCCTTATAAAAAGGATGCAGGGATATGTCTTTATTTCCCATACATTTTACATAGTTCTATACAATTTGTTGTTTTTAAAGAAGACTGTGTTATGAAAATGAGAGTTCTATTTGTGTTTGTCCTGCTAAAGCATGCATGCTATGTTGTACCTGGACTGCTTGCTTAACCCCTGGAAAGTTATCAGCTCTACCCCTCTCCATTCTCTGTCCCCCAGCCTGCACCCTATTGCACCGTGAGGCAAGGACTCTGGGCAGGACTGAAAGGTCTTGGAAGCTGCAGGAACTAATCTAAGTGGAGATAGAGTCATGCTCCAATTACTGGGGATGTTTGTGGGTAGACAAAAAGGACAACTTAGGTCTGTAGTATGTAGTTGGTGACTTCCTCTAAAAGGAGGAGTCCATTGTTTAGAGACTTCTGTTGGGTTAGTAAAGCCAAATCTTGCAAAGCCCAACTTGGTGCCTGGCCTGCCAGGCTTATGGATAATAAAAGGGGTCATAATGGGAGATTTGATTTGTGCTAGACATTAAGTGCTTTGCACACATTATCCTTTTAAATCTCTTGTAACAATCCTTTGGAGAGTCCATAATCTTGCTCCCATTTCTCAGCCAAAGAGTCATGAGGTGAAAGCTGTCTCCCCAGAGCAGTTAAGGCCAGAGCAGGTACTTAGATCTGTGAGCTCTCCCAGCCCAGCCCCTCAGCAAGTCAGGACCACAAAACCATATCCTACCTTCTCTAGTCTTTCTCCTTTTTGAGAGATAGGAGTTACTTGCGAGTTTTAGTTCCAGACAATGGACTATTCTAGGGCCTTGGCCCCAGCAGCATCTACCTGTATAACTCTGAAAAAGATGCATGATTCACATGTTACACAAGGGAGTTGACTTCATCTTGTTTTCTTGGATTCTGTTATCAGTTCTGTCTGGCATGTTCCTTGTATTTGTGACAGCCTCAAAATGTGAATATAGATTTCTTTGGTGTGAGACGTTGTTTTCTGGTTGGGTTTTCATGACATTTGCCTCAAATGGAGGATTTAATAGGATGAAGCCATATCCTCTTCAAAGCCATTCAGTTGGATTTAGGCAAAATGAAAATATGCAAATTGTCTCCCTTCAGGCTTGCCCTCATTTCCAAATTTGGAGATGAGGAAAACGGTTTGAAAGGTTTTGAATTAGGAAGACATAATCTCCCTTCACATCCCCTGTGTGCGTGTAAGTCTCAGCTGGTCCTTTTCATTCTAGCTTCTGGATTGGCTGTACCAGCCATTATCCTGAAATTGTCCACAACTCTTGTCTCATAAATGCACCGGACTCAACTTCCTTTGTGGGTGCTTCATTCTCTCTAAGAGTTAGTTTGGGGGTTATAACTTAGAAATTATTTCTTCTTAAATAAATCATTCTGCTTTGGCTGTTGACCCCATACCTCATTGATCATATCCAGTTCCTTTTCTCAGCTTCTTCAATGGGCTCCCTCTCAAATAAGTTCCCTTCTGAGTGGAATTTCCAGTTTAAACATTGTTTTGATTTCAATTTTGTTTTTAAAGACACCTGTCCTTCCTACTTTTCTCCACTAAGATAACACCATAGTAGACATGAGGGATGTTGCCTATTATTTAAGGAAACCCTTTAGCGACAAACTCAACTGTCCCAAATGATTGAATCAAGGACAAAATCGACTTTTTGTAGAACAAGTCAATGTAATAGTGAGGCATTGTTTTTTCTAAGGTTCTGCTACACTGGTTGTTTGAATAATTCTATTTCTAGTCCCCCTGCAAAAGTATTCAGCAGTCTTAGGCCATCTCCATAGTGTGAACCTGAATCCTATTTACGATTTATTTTTTTAAACCCATATCCCAAGGGAAGCCTATACTCAATCTTCTTCTTCATTTTCCAAATACAGTTAGGTTATTAGTTTTGACTTAAAGAAGAAAATAGTTGGTGGGAATGAGCCAGGCTCTAAAATACCAAGGAAAAAGTTGAGGACTCCGAAGGGGGGCAAAGTGGCAAAGAATAAAAAATATGCAAGTAAGCACTTTTCATATTTCACATTAAACAGTTTGAAACCATTTTTTAAAAGAAGGAAAGAAACATTTTAGATATTCTAAGCATTATGCTTAAACCACAAATTCTGTAAAAAATGAACAGCATAAGCTATTAGCAGCTGTATGCGTCATAAACACCTTAGGCGAGACAATCAGATACTAATGCCAAAAGCACCTTGGAGCCATCAGTTTGCTCGGGGCTCGACTTCTGCAATTTCATAAGATAAATGCCTCTGCTGTTTTAAGATGATGAAACTACAGCTGAGACGAATCTTCATGTTTTTCACCAGTGATTTAATAAAGGCCAGCTCAGAATAAATATGGAACGGCTATTCTGAAAGCTTTTTTAGCTTCGTGCTGAAATGCATTGGAACTTTCTTGGGTAAATTGATTGTATCCAAAGTTCTGATCTGTCCATGCATGGAAGAAAGATGTTTACTAAGTCGTGGACCTGGACTGTAAACCTTCTAGGTAAAGCAGTGTGGCTTTATGGAGAAATTAGGGAAAAATGCTTCCTTGGACAAAGCCAGGGTCTGAAAGTTGATTCTGTGGTTTGAGCCTCAGAGCAGCTGCTGAGAGAGAGAGAGAGAGACAGAGGAGAGAAGGGATCTGTAGTGTGGAGTTTGCTGTTCTCGATCTTAGTCGTCTCATAAAAAATGCTAATGTGCCACTTGACTTCATGTTTATTGTTGGGTCAAAAGTTGCTTTAAACACATATCTAATCCATAGGCATATAGACAGTGAGATGGATATATCTATAGCAGTCAGAGAGTCAGAGAGCTAAACACACTTATATTATAGAGAATCAATTCCAAAAGTATTTAAAATCATAAGGGGCAAGACTGAATGTAATTTTAAAGGATCTATTTAAATCTTAAATTTATGTGTAAGAAAAATTTACTCCCACCCCTTTATTTTTGATGAGCAAGAGAGAGCAAGCAAGCTAGGGAGCAAGGGTAGAAGACTTGATTTATTAATGTTTATTTGGGGCCTGTGCTCTTGGCAACTGACACTTTCGGTAGGTAAATAACCCCTTCCTGAGTTACTGAATAGGTTACATGATGTATGTATATCTGTGGCTGCATGATTGTCATGGGTTTGCCAGACCACCTTTCAGAATGGCAAGAGCCAGTGGTACATTTGTAGGTTTTGCCTAGGGGCCACCACTGTTGACAGCTCAGAGGTTATGGCAACCCCTGTCTTCAGACACTGCAGCTGGGGGCTGTGTTGGTTCGCCTGCCTACTCCCCTTCAGTGGGCCCTTCTGACTTTAATTATGTCCTCCTTGGCTGAATTCACAGGTGGCTTTCCTTGTAGGAGGCGTTTACCTCTCCCCAAGCCTCTGGCTGCTCATTTCCTCAGTGGATTAGCAGGACCATGATGAAACAGAAGCTTGTGCCTTCCCTATTCTTTACACAACCTGGTGTTAGAGGTTGACCTTTCACCCCTGGAGATTCAGAGGATTAAGGCTTCTTTTAAATCCCGCTCTAGTTACTAATCCACCACTTTCACTGGATGTTATGTAAGCACTTCCTGACTTACCCTTTAAATCCTGTAAACATAATAAAACAGAGTTTAACCTTTACCTTTGGATTTCCCCACTATCTTTTGCGCTGTGGAATCAACTGTAGAAGGATCCAGGAACAGAAAGCTAATAAGTGATAGCCTGATTTTTTTCTTTTTTTGCCCTGGGACATGTAACAAAACATTACAATATTTAATATATTCAGGTCAAATAGTTGTGGGGGAGCAACAAAAGGTTCAGGCTGGGCAAATAATGTTTCCTTCCTTTAACTGCTTGTATTTTCCCACAAAACAATAAAGCAGATGGTATTGGGTGTTTCTACTCCTCCCCCTTTTAAACAAATTAGAACTAATAAGATCCAAATGATAGCTGAAAAAAATAGGCTTTAGAGTAATTCAGACTTTCTGCCTTGCTGTGTCATTCCTGCATGCTTCTGATATTAACACAAGGGTCTTTTCTTCAAAGCTTTACTCTTTAAATAGGAATATCCTTAGCTTGCCCTGATTTCTAGACCCAAAGAGTGAATCCAGAATTATTTCAACAGCATAAAATTAATCTTTCTTCTTTTCTGTCCACCCGTCAGCTGGTCAGATGTCTCTCCTGAATGCTCTTTCTTAAGAACTGAGTTATAGGATTGTCATGAACAATATCTAAGAGGCTCCTTTTAATAGCAAACTGTCACCAGTTTCATGCTTAGCAAGCATGGACCTTTGGTACACTTGTTGCTGTCATTATGAGGTTAGTTCCACCCCTGGAGTTCTCAAACTGGTCATCTTTTGAAAACTTCTTATAAGAGAGGACTTTTTATTAGATTAGTTTTTTTCTCTCTCTCTTTTATTCAACAAAATCTGTAAGACAAAACCAAATAGTAGGTAGTCAACTGGACTTCAAGCTAGGAGAAGGCACAGCTCTGTGACTAGCCAGGCTGTGTTCTAGTGGATTTCACCAGTCATCTTTGGTCCTCACTTCCTTTACTGTCAAATGATAATAATCTCATGGACCCCTCCCTCTGTATTATGGAAGAGAAAATCTAG